AAAAAAAATGGTTGGGGGCCGGGATGTACCTCAGTGGCACAGTCCTAAATTCAATCCCAGGTTAAAAAAAAATGCTGTTGGAGTGACTGAGCACTGTCAGAGAAAAGACCAAACCCTGAAGCTTCATCCCTTGTGCCTCAAAAATGAGCTCTGCATGAAGTACACAGGTGCTAGCCAGACATGGGAAAGTGGTTTTGTACTTACAGGGGAGAAGGCTTTAAAAATGTACCGTAAGTCCCAGAAGCCAAGACAGAATGTAACACATCTGTGGAACCCCGTCTTCCCTGATCCCAAATGGAAGGCACATTAATCTGAAGAGAGCCGTGCACTGGATTCCAGGATGGTAAGAAAAGGATTCTTAGCCCAGAGCAGGCTTCCTGCCTCACAGCTCGTGCCGCTGCACCGGGGTGAGCTGGGGAAGGCTATCGCCACAGTGTGATCACCAAGGGTGTCCCGCATGTCACCCTGGAAGACTGTTTTGTCTCCGAGGGGAGAGGAGCTTGTGCAGCTCTCCCACAAGCATCCTGTGGTCACAGTACACAGGGATGGCAGCCTGCAGAGTGACCTTCCGGGACAATTGTGCTCAGACCCTGGACAAGGCAGATGTCGGGGCGGGAACTCCCAGTCAGGGGATGAAGGGCAGATGAGTTTTCCTTTTCCCTTACTCTTCTTCAGACATATCTGACTTCTCGTAAACTGAACATAAGTCATGTTACCGTATGGCAGGGTTTTTTCAGCAGCAAACGAGAAAGCGGAAGTTCAGTGCCAGCACAGGGCCTGCCCTGCCTCTGCCGGCCTGCTCAGTACCCGCTGCAGGGTGAGACCTGCTCCAGCTTCTTCCCAGTGCACAGCCGGGGTTCCTTGTACAACAGTCTTGCCTATGAGAAACAAGAACAGCCAACTGTTTTTGCTTTTTGTTTTTTAAAATTTTTATTTGGTGTTAACTCCACAAGAAAACAAAAAATCAGTTATTCTGGTGTATGTGAAATCAGAACAATACAACCACGGGAAAAAAAATCTCAGCCCAGGAATGGAAACTGATACTTCAGTGCTACGAATATGCAATGCGCTTCATACCACAATGCGTTTCAGCGTTTGCCAACTTTTTTTTAATGCATTTTGTAATCATCCAGTCACAAAAACTAAAAACCACACTTTCAACTGTTGCTGAAAGTCTTTGAGCTTTAGCCACTTAATTATGAAAACAAATCAATACAGAATCCGTTATCCCTTGGCCCGTTCCCACTGCGCCCCTCCCGTGCAAGGCGCTCTCCGGCCCGTGGGAAGACACTGAAGCCCGTCCCCTCGGGCCGCCTAAGCTCCAGGTTGCGTCTCATACCTGTTTATTTGGTCTCTGCTACATGGGCAACGACTTCTAGGGTAACCGTCGTTGCAGTGATTTTAGGAATTCACAAATCCACTCCTTTTTTGCATTTGCTATTAAATTATAGTTCAGTGCAGATGCTAATCAGTTTTTAGGAAGCTCCAGAAGAAAGAAAAATACATAACAACTTATCTGATGTCTGTAAATAAATAACAGCGACATAAAACCTTACCCATGCACGCGCGCACACACTCACACACACACACACACACACACACACACACACACACACACTATAAAGTGTCAAAGATGTGCTGTGTACAAATGAGCCCTAGCAGTGGTGGGACGGAGCCAGGCGAGAGTGCCAGGTTGCTCAGGGAGAAAAGGCTGACAGAACCTGGAGGACCCACAGCCTCTGCGGCGTTTTCTGTGCTATCAGTTAAGAAGAAGGCGACAAGCCCCAGTGCTCCAAAGTTGCGGCAGTCCAGCTCCCAGGCAGTAACAAATGGGCTCACCACCTGCAGGAAGGAGTGATGAGGCTGTCTAGGCCACGCCAGGCTTCGCGCCTTCCTGAGGTCACACACTCTCAACTGACCGACCGCACGGACTCGATATTCTCTAAAACGGTACGTTAGTTAAAAAAAGAAAAACACCTTAACATGTTCAGGTTTTGCTGATATGGCCCCTCCTGGCTTGACCTTGCCACACAGTGTCACGAGAGCTCGAGGAGGGGATCAGCAGGTATGGATGCAAAAGAGACTGACTCCTGGGGTCACCAAGTCACAGGCGGTGCCGACACAACAGTGATCACGGGGCAGTGAAGAAGGGCTCTACACACCCTCCACAGCACACAGGGCTCGCCCAGGGTGTCCTCTCAGACACGACGAGAGCAACCACACCACACCACACCACACCACACCACACCACACCACGAGAGCAGCCAGCCGCAGCAGCCGAAGGTTTCCGTGGGTGACAGGGGCCTTTATTGTATGTCCAAGGCTCGAGATTTCAAGTCTTGGGGGCTCTGACTCAACATTCGCCAGAAAAACCACAATCCACAGCCAAGGTCCTCCTGCACGTTCCAGACCCCAGAGCCTGCCCACATGTCTCGCAGATGCACTGCAACAGCCACGCGGGCAGGTGAAGCAAGTGTCCCAAATCCTTGGCACCTTCAGCTAGCAAGAAAGACACACACCACAGTGTCCCACGATACTTCGGGGGCCCCAGGGTAGAAACAGTACTCTGAAAGTCTCTAGATGCACGCACTCTTGCGCTCCTACAGCCATGTTGGAGTCACCCGTGCTTCCCTCCCGCCCCCGGAAAGGACTGACCCATGGCAGGTGAGAATGCTCTCCCAGCGCTTAGAGAACAAAGCTAAATGTTCCGAAGCTAAAGTCTCTGAACAGCAGAAGTGTGCCGGCACCGCAGCGCCAACAGGTGACAGAGATGTCACCGAGTGCGAAGGAGAGGCCTGCAGCTGCCAGGCAAGAGCAGCGACATCTCTAGGACGAGCACATGCACACCATTCCGGACCGGACAGCACATCTAGTCTATTCAACAGCAAGAATGAACAGCTGGGAAAGAGCTCCAGCAGGACCAGGTCCTCAATGCTAAGATAAGCAAGAAGAATGAATCAGTTACTCCGGGAAGAAACCTATGTTGTTGCTCTAGAGGAACAGGCCTCCAAGGAGGGGCGGCGTCCCATCAACCGCACTAGGCGCAAGGTCAGAGGTGAGTCCGGGAGAAGAGCGCCTCCTCTCGAGCGCCCGCCCACTCGCCGCCACCGTCGGAGCCCGAGTCTCCCGGGTCGGAGCTGGCGCTGGAGCGCATCTTCCGGCAGAGGCCGTTTGCCTGGGCCCCAGGACCGCCCTCTCCGGCGCACCGTGCTTCACAGACAGAAGACACCTGCAAGGCAAGATGGTTTTGAAAGGTGAGGGACAGTTCTCCTGAAAGCAGCTCCAACACAAGCTGCAGCATGCTGTGGAGAGGCGGGGACATGAAGAGCTGCCTGCTGCAGGGTGAGCCGCATTCCACCCTGCTGCCTGAGGACCCCGCGTGCCCCTCTGCTGCACGGTCACCCAGACAGACATGCCACATCAGGCCAAGCTCAAGGAATGCTTCTACCTTCTGCCAAGCTCCTGCCGCAGGACAGCAACGGTGCTGGGCTCAGGACTCATAGGGAGGACGCACCTGGCCACGTCCACAGTGGGGCAAAGGGTAGGCAAACTGACACTCTCAAGCCCAGACTGCGGATGCCCACACTGGGGCACATCCTGGGGAAGGCACGGTGGGAAGAGATGCTGCTGGCAGAGGCAGAGGGGCTGGCAGGCACGGCTGCCTGAAGGGTGCTGTGACCTGGGGTCCTACACTCACAGGGCTTTGTAGGGCGAGCCCTTTGTTGTCTGAAGTCTCCCGTCTCTGAGGACAGGAGGTGCAAGTGGCTCAGCAAGGCCTCTCTACCCCATCTTCCCAACTGGCACCAGCCCCGCCCCACTTCCGAACAGCCACACTGCACCTGTGGGGAACTGTGGCAGGAACACAGAAAAGCCAGCATGAGGTGCCAGGAGCCGGCATTTGCTGAGAGCAGCGGGCAGGAGCGAAGACCAGCCTCAGACTAAGGTCACAGTGCAGTCTGCACCGCGCTACCCACTGCTCTTACTCTTGGGCACACCGGGCTGCAATTGCAAACACATGGTGGCACCAAGCCAGTGTCTCGCAGGCTGGAGAAGTCCTGAAGGGACGAGCAGAAGCAAAAGAGAGGGAAATCTGCCCACTGTGGAGAGGAGTGGGGTGCACAGGATGGGGGAGCAGAAAGTGGGCAGCCCATTTGGAGGTGATGGGGGAAGCAGGGCAGGGCTGAAGGTTGAGGGGGGCAGCATGAGCCACTCACCTGAGGGGAGCCGGGGACACCAGCACCACCAAGTGCTGGAGCACAGTTCTTACAGGGACAACCAACAGCAGGAAGCAAACGGAGCTTCCTGAGAGCCGGCTGGCCCGAGCACAGCCTGCACCTTCTCACACGTCACCACGCGTGGGCCAGGGGAGCACAGTGAGCATCCCGGAGGCCAGGGCAGGGCCAAGCTCAGGGCGCCCACTGCGGCCATCCCACCACACTCCGAGGGGTGCAGGCTTGGCTCCGCGCTCACGTACACAGGCAGCAGCGGGAAGGAGAGGCCAGAGGGGTGCAGCAACCCTGCAGGAAGCCCTGGCAGTGACAGGCTGAGGTGGGAGGGGAGGCAGACCTGGCGCCGTGGGCGGGTGTGCGGCCAGGGAGACAGTGAGGGATGGCCACTCTCAAGTTAGTATCGAGGACAGGAGGACCATCCACTTACCCTATTAAAATCTAACAGGTGCTCTTCATTACTGGGTAGTTCTTTAGCATCTGGATATTCTTCTATACCATTCTCCTCCTTGGCATTTGTATAACATTCTTAATCATTGTGAACGGAGAAGAGAAAAAAGGGAAAGGGGGAAATTAAGACACGATTTTGAAACATACATTGTTATTTCATCTTCACTGCAAAGGTAGGTCTCCCAACCTTCTGGAGATCTTAAGTAGCCACTGAAAGTACAGCCAGCCAGGTGCACTTAACAAAATCATGACACAAGCAGAACTTCTTAGGCCAGACTGAGTTTAAAAAAAAAAGAAAAATCAGGCCAGCTAAACACAATCCCTGTGATTCTACCATGAAGACAGTCGCTCATCAGATACATTTTCACACCTAGGCTGGGGCAGGCCCTGGGGACACAGGATGAGAAAGACCATGGGGTCTGTGTTCCCTAGGAGACACCACCCCAGGAATGTTGTTGATGGGGGTGGGAACAAGAGCTGTGGACAAGGCAGGGCCACCCCAAGAAGTGCCTGACAACACCACGCCAACTATGGAACAGGGAGAGGAGCAAGGCTCAGGGTTCAACTGGGCAAATGGACCATAGGACAAGAGGCACATACAGACTGGATCAGAAGGCATCATACAGATCCAGTAAGTCCCTCATTCTCCACCTGGCAGGACTTGAAAGTCCCCGGGGGGAGATTTGGGAACCCCAAACCCTCAGAGGTTCCCAGGCAACTGCTCTGGGGAGGCTGGACGTTGGTCCTCCTGGAGGCACAGGAAAGGCAGCACTGGTTCAGTCGAGCACGTCTTCTAAGGACCCTTGTGCTGGGAGAGTTATCAGGAGGTGGCAGTGAGATGCCCTGGCTTCCTGGGGCCAGCCTCGGGAAAGGGCAAGGTCTCCTGTGATGCTGCACAGCAGGGTGGTGGTGAGCACTGACATCATCAGCTCAAGCTCCTGAGGATCTCCCAGGCTCTGGGATCTTATAGGCTGCCGTGGATTCCCAGAGACGCTGCCCCCTGGCAATATGACTCTGGGCATACGTTACCAAACTCTCCGGGCTCCTGTGCCTCCCCTGCCCCTCCCAGGACTCTGAACATACAGAAAGAGATACCACGTGGGAAGGCAGCACAAGCACCAACCCAGGACATGGGCTCTGGGACAGCTGTGGAGGCCAGGGACCTTGCTTCATCCTTCTCACCCAAGTACCCACAGCCCCCTGCGGGCGGGTGTGTCTCCTGGATGTGGGAGACCTTTCAAGTGGGCACTGGGAAGGTGGGATGCTCAAATACAGTCCAAGTTCTCCGTGATGTTCATGGGAACAGCCCCCAGGTTCTGAGTGGCAGTGCGCATGAGGTGCTGTACAGGGTCCTTACCCCTCGTGACCCACCCACCAGGGAGCATCCCATTTCCTTTACCAGTCAAGGCATGAGGGTACAGAGTGCTCCTATGCTGCCAGGTCTAGCAGCTGGGTCCAGTGGCCCCAGCTCCAGCAGAGTTGTGCTTCCCCAGCACAGGCCCTAATGTCTGTTGCTCCTGGCCGGGGCGGGGGGGCTTTCTCTGGCAGCAGCTCAGCCTTCCCAGCCCTGGAGAGCTGGGCACAGCTCTGGAGGACACCACCAGTGTCTCCAGGCCCTCTGTAGGCTGCTGTTACACTGGCCCTGCAGGGAGCCCCAGCTGAAACAGAAGCATTCTAAGTACCACACACCTGAGAATGACGTTGCTACACGAAAACCCTTGACAGCCACCTCTCCTGCACACTGAAAGCTTTAAAGCAGTCAGTTCGCCACTCTTCTGACAGGCTTCTCCTGGCTGCCTCTCGACTCAGCTACAACCCTGCCTCGCCCTACAGGCTCCTGCCCCCTTCCACCTAGACTGCTTGAGGACCCCTCCCTCCATGAGCTGATATTGGCTGGACAGGTCTCATCAAAGGCTGCCTATGGGAAACCAGGCCACCCCCATCAGCTCATGGCTAAGCATAAGAGCAGGGCCAATTCTCATTCACCTCTGTGTCCCCACGTGTAACACAGTGCTGGCCACAAAGAGACTCTTGGGAAGTGGTCCTCACACTGATACTCAGGAGAATGTAATTCATGAAATAGAAGTCTGAAAGAATTAATGGATGAACATGGGCCTCCTTACCTTCACATTCCGATGCAGGAAAAAGGGGAGAGTACAAGGCCTTTTCCCACCAGGTCTGCTTTTCTTGACTTCTACTCATCTCTTGCACATCAGTGTTCAATCCAGGAAACTATTTAGATTAAAACCAAATACAGAAGACATTTGAAAACTTTCTGGAAAGAGGAAAAAATTCTAACAGCACCACCCACTATAAACTCAGGATATTGACTGCATTGATTGAGACAGGGTCTCACTTTATAGTTCAGGCTGGCTCTGATATCATTATGTAGCCCAGCCTGGCCTCAAACTAGCGGCGATCCTCCTGCCTCAGCCACATGTGAGGATTATAGGAGTACACCATCACACCTGGCTGGAAGTTATCTTTAAAAGCTCCTATTTGGGGCCAGGTGTTGTGGTGTTCATCTGTAATCCCAGCACTCACAGGCCGAAGCAGGAAGATCATCATGGGTTTGAGGGCAGCTGGGCCACACAGTGACTTCAAGGCCAGTCTGAACTACTAGTGAGATCCTGCCACTAAAGGGGAAAAAAGCACCTATATTGGAAATGAAACTAAAATTTTAACAATAAGAATAACCCAGAATTGTTTCAAGGAAAAGCATAAGAGGAAATATTCTCAAATGAAGAAGAATGTCTAAAAAGAATAGAAGGAAAAATCTCATAGGAAGCATTACCAATCTAAATGCCTTTATAATAAAATTATCTGCTGAGGTGAGAACCAAAAGGAAGCTGAGATTTAAACACACACACACACACACTCACACACACACACACACACACACACGCAGAGCAAACTCAGTAACTCCGATTCAAATAGGATGCAGCCATACAGAAGAGAGGAAGGAAGGACGGCGAGGCGGGGAGGCTCATTCCTCATCGCCCCTGTGGCCACACCTGAGTTGGCTCCATCCTTCACAAGCTGCACTCCCAGGGCCGGGCTGGACCCGCCTGCTGACCTGGCAGTGAGGACCAGGGGTCAGGATCGACAGACAGCAGCTGTTAACCGTGACCCAGCAGTCCCTGGGAGGGGTCAGCTGTGGTTGGCGCCTGTCCTCGGTGTGCAGGTTGGCAGGGTAACCTTCCACACACCTTCTTCTCTGTGCCTAGGAAGCAGCATGCCAGCCAGCTCCCCAGGCCGAGGCCAGCAACACCTTTGTAACAGCCAGGCTGCTGCACTGTGCCTGCGATGACGAGGCCTATAAACTGCTTAGACATGTCATCATGGGCTCACGTTTAAAATCGGGACAATTTTAGTAACTAAGCAGGTCAATCAGTGATCTAATTCAAATGAGCTAACAGGTCAATTCTTGAACAGAATTTTGTTATGCTTTTAGCTATAAATTATGTTAACGGGTTTAAAATTGCTTGGTTCAGTAACATGCTCTTTATCATGTAACTAAGTGGGAAATATACTTCAAATTTTCATTTTCACTTAGCATAACTTTTCAGAAATACTCCCACATTAGGAACTGCAGAACTGTGCTGTCTACCCAGTGCAATCAGTGAACCGTCACTACTTTCTCCTGCACTTAGCCTGACAAGAAGACTGAGTTACTGATGTTAGGTAAGCAGATGTCCAGGCCCAGGGAACCCACAGGGCCAGGTGGAATGCAAATGAGGCTGCTTTCTGCAAGGCCTGGGCTGACCCAGGTGGGAGTTGCATCCGAAGCCCTTCGGAAAGGCCCAGCCTGTCGTGAGATTACTGGGAACTAGTGAGGCTGCCAGGGAGGGTGCCCTGGCCAGAGTCCTCTTTCATCCCAAGGCACGTATGACGAGAGATGACTCTGGAGGCCAAAGTTCCTGTCTTCTTCCCTCCCAGCCTTACTAGTGTGAGTTTAATTATGCTGCTTATCTTTTCATCCTTTCCAGAGACAGTAAAGGGTGAGGACAAGAGAGGGAGAGAGCTCATCTGGAGGGCTGGGCGCGGTTGCCCAAAGTCTGGTGGCATGTACCAAGGTGGGCTCAGATGTTTCCTAAGGGCAGGACACTGTCCTGCTTACCTCATGCTGCTAGGCATAAACACATGCTGTCCAGTGTCTGGGGCCTGAGGAAGCCTCTCTGGGCTGGTCTCCGCTCCCCTCCCTCCTGCCAAGGCCACAGAAGAGAGCTTCCACAGCAGCTGTAGAAGCCATTTCTGCACTCTCCATCCGAGTGTCAACTCCTATAGCACAGACTCGGGCCTTCTCAATATGGGTGCAGCCTGTTATGACATCTTCCTACTCAGCCGTCTCAACTTTTAGGTCGCACAGCAGGAATGACTGCTTCTTCCCTCATCTAATGTGTGCCTGATGTAGTAACTCAACTTCCAGTTTGGTTGTGGTGGAAAAGAATGCAAAAACACACTATCACAGAAAGCAAAAAAGCAGAGAAGTAGAGGAAGAGAACGGGACCACCCAGAGGAGGTGCAAGCTGTCCTCTCCCTCACTCTCAGCTCCAAGCACTTCCCACGGCAGCTCTGCACCCTGCCGCACTCCCAACCCACCACATGCCTTGCCTAGCTCTTCTTACATGGACAGCACTACTGTAACTTCGTATGCTTACTGTCAGCTCCCTGAGGGTGCGGGCAGCTTCACAAATGTGGGGCTGTTCATTCCAAGCACCTAGGACAGCACCTGGTACGGCAATACGCAGCGCATGCATTTGATGAATGGATGAAATGGTTAAAGGAAAAGAGACAAAAGGCCTGACAAGAAATGCTTTAGCCACAGACATCACCCTCAGGACTGCTTCACAAGACAGAAGTCAGGTAAGCAAACAAAAGCTTCAGAGGTGCACATGCTCACTAACATCCTTGTTCCAGTGGAGAGGCAGGTGCTGGAGACCCATTTTGTGTGGGGAACCAGTGCTCCTCTGCTATTCGGTTCCAAAAGGAAAAGGAAACCAACAGCCTTCTCAGAAAGAGGAGACACAGGCACACCAGAGACTGGAGAGGTGCCGAGCTGTCTGCCTCTCCTCTGCTCACCCCGATGTGGAGGACGGGGTGGGGTCCCTCCCTGCAGGATCGGGGCAGGCCTCCCACTCCTCCAAGCCTATGTGGCCTTAGCAGCTGGACAGTGAAACGAATCCACGCAGGTATCCCGTGGGATGTGGTAACAAAGCCTGGTCATGAGTGGGCCATGTGCCACACAGTGTGGGTGACCTCCACAGCACAGTGCCTGTGGGGGGGGGCAAGATGGCCTCCTCTCCCGAGTGAACTGCACAGTCCTTTGGAAACAGGCATTAAGCCTTCTTTCTGCTGCTTTTCTCAGCTTCAAGACGCCTGGCACCAGGTGGGCAACTGAGGCAGTAAGAAGACACTTTCAACTCAGACTTGGGCAACTGACAGGCACCCACAGCACCCCATGTCCTCCGTGCTCCCCCTCACTCGGGCCCACACTGAAAGCAGGTTGGGCTCGTGTGCCCGCACACCACCTCTACGGCACACCCAGGTGTGCTCAGGGGCCTTCCACGCTGCTCTCCCTGGCCTGTGCAAGGCTCCAAGGGCCCCACAGCCTCCTAGGCTCACCTCCTCTGCTCCACTTACCACATTACCTAAAACTGGGCTGGCTCTAAGACCCTGGAAGAAAAGGAACTGGCCGCTTAAATTATGGGGCATCCATATAGTGCAGTGTATGGTCAATTATCATAAAATGCCATTTCACTTAAAAACAAAAACAGGAGGAACTATCTGTGATTATGTATTTGCTTGTCCATGCAAGAAATACCCTTGGAGGGCCCACCAGAGTTCATACTCGCAACGGCTCTCAGGGATGGGGCTCACACCACATACAGCCTTTTTGGATCTGCTCAGTCTTATATGAGTTGACTATTTCAATTAGAAGAGACGGTTTACAAATCGGTCTTCAAGCCTATACTGAACTTGTCAAGGCAAAGGACCAAGTCTTATTCATCAGAGTTCCTATCTCAGTAACAGGCATTCAATAAATGTCTGCTGAGTTGAACACAGCTTTTGGGAAAATCAGGGCTGGGGATGTAGCACAGTGACGCCACACCTGCCTCGCAAGCTCAAGGTCTGAGTTCAATCCCCAGTACCAAAAACAAAACAAAACAAAGAACTTTGGGAAAATCCCAGACACCAGTTCCAGCAGCAATCCTGCTTGCTCTGGAAGGGATGGGGTGCTAGTGTCTTTGAATGGGGATCTGGAAAGAATGGCTTCACTCCAGGAAGGGGAAGGAGTGTCCTCCGAGGAGTTGCAGAGGACAAACAGACAAAGGGACGGAGAGGGCACCGGCTTTAGTTCTGGCCTAGTCCCAAACAGTCCCCTTAGGCTGCTCTCTTCAGTTCTCCAACCTGGCGCCACACCATAGCACTGCTGCTGAGACCTGGGTACCCACAACGCCAGACTCCCAGATACCCCAAAACGTCCTCTGGAAGCTAAGGCCTTCCAGGAAAACCCAAAATTCCGATAACATGTAAATACGTCGACATACTAGAAAGCGAAGGAATATGGTAGTGGTATGGTGCAGGCTCTCGCTTCTTTCCTCTTTTTCTTTCTTCCCAATCTGGAACCAGGTGAAATACAAAGTACATAAAGGAATACTTAAGGAGGAAGGGGGGCAGTAAACAACACATAAAGGCTAACAACATTATAGGTTTTGCTTACAGTGCAGGCTTCAGTGTTTCAAAGGGACTAAGTACATCCCTCTATATGGGTGCCCAGGCACACTGACCACAGCAGTGACTCTCGAGATACCACCTACACCACGGGCAAGCAGCTGCACACGTAGGCACTGAGTAAGGCATGGACCATAGCCACAAGGAGCACCACATGACACACATACTCTGAACACACGGAAAATGCAATCGAAAAGAGGTATCAAGCAGAGAAAAACAGAGAGAATGAAGGAGTTAATTCTGATGGGGGTCAGGGTCAAGTAGGGAGAGAGGAGGTGTCAGTAAAGGAGGTGGCGGGTGGAAGCCTTGTGGTGCGGGTGGACTCAGCACACAGGGAGGCAGGTGGGAAGCAGTGCTCACTGCTGCACCCCGGGGGCATCACTTCCAGACTCTGCCAACTCTGCTCAGCAAGCTGCTACTAGAGAAAGGACAGGGACTGCTTCGGCAGATAATGCCGAAAAGTGGGTAGACTGTGAGGCTTTTTTAGAAACAGGATATTGCCTCAAGTGCTGCTGGTGTTAGTTCTGATACAATCAATTTAACCCAAGACCCCTTCTTAGGAACACAACTGAGGGATACTATGGTTTCATTAACAAAACTGTCGACACCACTCTGACTTAATGAACCCAACACAGATTCCAGAGCCCTCCGAATCTACTTTGTATAAAGCAAGATACATCTACTTGGGTTCTGCAGAAAACACTGCTAACATCTGAACCGTGGGCTCATTTTCACATACACCACGATGTACTTAAAAAATGCTGACCTGATGTAATTAACTTTACAGGAAAACACAAGGTTTAACAAAACTGATCAACATCAAAGAAACAGTTGGACAGGCTGGCTCTCTAAAGAGCTTTAATTAGCAGCCACAACAATGCTATTCTTGAAATAAAAGTCTGATCAAATCCTTTGTCAAATACTGACACACACGGAAACATACCTGTTCCAGCTGTCCCGAAGAAACTGAAGTATCTTCATAAGTAGGGAACTGACAACCTGCTTTGCAACTGCAAAAATTATTAATTTCTTCCTCACATTGTGCCATTATTTTACAATTTGCTTCCGAGCTTTCTATATCTATTTCCAGAGATTCACTCATGCTACATTCCAGACACGGATTCTGCTTTCCGACTGGCAGGATCCCAGTCGATTCCTCCTGGGAATCTAGTGATGTCTGAGCACTCTTTTCCATTCCAGACTTTTTTAATCTGGGAAGAAATCTGCCAGACTCAAGCTCTGATTTTCCATAGTAATGTCCTTCTTTCTCTGCATCTTCTTCCAGAGGTTTGAGATCTGCCTGCGGATCTTCAAATACATCCGCTTGAGGAGGAATAGGAACACTGGCTTCATCTTTCTCAGACTCAAACTCTGACTCGCTTCCTCCTCCTGGGGACAGTTCTGATGCAGAGATCGGGCGGAAGTGAGTCCTGGGAGAGATCCGGATGGCCCTGTACTGCGTCCTATCGACGCCACATATCCGAGGGTGAAATACTTCACTGTCGGAATCAGAGCAGAGGATTGATTTGGGTTTAAAAGTGGGGTTGAAAGATGCAATCCCTTCAGGTTCAAATGAACATTCTACATGAAGGACTTGTGAAAATGGATTACTTAGGTCAAAGGAGGAGAATGAGTATTCAAGTCCAGGATCTTCAACTTGAAAGTTACCACAAGCTCCTAGTAAGTCTTCATGGAAGATAAAAGAAAATCCCTTATTTAACCCATTTTCGCCACTCTTCGGCTGGTCATTCTGTTCAAATGACATGAAGGGTTTCCATAACTGCCTGTGACCAGGAGCAAAGCTGTTTCCTGGGGTCATAAAGACGTCTGTCCCGGCTATGGTCACAACATCGGAAGCTGCACATTGCAGCAAGCTTCCTTTTGTGTGGCCTGGCGGCACAACTGCCCATTCCCCATCGCTACTGAAGGTTTTGAGTTCTCCATAGACTCCCCCGAGAATGAATGCATTCTCCTTATCTTGGGCCACAGCCCAAGGTTTTGAGGGTGTGGTGTAATCACCACCATCCACCTTGGAGAGCTCGCTGGATACAAAGGCTCTCTTCTCCAGGTTTTCTTTCTGTCCTTCCCAAAGGCGATACTCAGACCTCTGCACTGCCCTGCTGGGCTCCTGAAGGGTCTCCATTTTAGCTTCAGCATCTAAACAGCAGCAGTAGTTATTTACATCTACTGAAAACAACTCATCGTCAATTCTTTCTATTTCTACTGTAGCCACAGGATTTCTGTCTGCCATCTTTGTCCAAATGTCTTTAATAACCCCTGAGCTGTAGCCATCTCCATGTGGACTGCTTTCACTACATACATGTGAAGTTTCAAAGTTTTTGTTTTCTGTTTTTTGTTCTAGCTGAATACCACAGACAGACTCTAGTTTGGATCTTTTTTTGAAAACTAAAGTTGGAATTTCTCCTAAAGTTCTACTGTTTTGCTGGCAAGTTTCATCTTGCAAAAAATCTAGAAGTTCTTCATCTACATAATTTGACGAGACTCTAGGAACTACATAATTAATATCATCTGCATTAAACTGAGTGGATTCTTCAAACTGAATGTTCAATGTCTCATTGTCAGAACGTGTTTCTTCTGAATGGGACCACGGGCTACAAGTTCTGGTTGAAAGATTAGAACAGTGTTCATTTTCTTCAAAGGCACTATTTTTGGTCCATATTAGCAATCTAGATTGTGTTTTCCCAAGCATATTAGCACTAGAATCTGTATTTTCATTTTCCAAGTTGAGTGTTTCAAAAGAAAACGGTAAAACAGAATTACTGCATTGCACTTCAAACACTGAAAAACAAGAGTTTACACCAGATCCTTCATTAATATCTGAAAAGAGCTCTTGATTGCCAGCAAGCAAGTGTGAATTGAGCATTGTGCTGTCCAAGATCGGAGAGAGTCTAACTGGAGAGTCTCCTCCAAAGCTCTCCCCATCAGCATCACCAGAGCTGGATGAACAGCACTCCCAAAACTGAGCCAGATTGCCAAGGTCTTGCAGGAACAAGCCCTCAGCACCCACAGAGCTGGTAGAATCTGTCCATATTGCACGTTCCCCTTGCAACTCCATACCATCTAACACTATGCAACATTCTGCCTCAAAATCTGCATTCTCTTTGCTTTTTTGTCGAATCATATTCAAGATCCGACTTTCTCCTTGCATTGTTTCTGAGGCACCAGGATCCAACATGGATTGATCAATATCCACTTCATAGAAGTGTGTTAATTCTGACAGATGAATATCATCTAGGTATTTGTTGTCCTCTGGCAGAGAACCTAATGAGGTCCCAGTGAGGTCAATATCCTCATTTATAACTGCAGGCATTTCTACAAAATGACCATCAATGAAAGTACCTGCTGCGAGGTATGTTTTGTGAGTATTATTGTTGCTGATACGAAGACCATGCACTGACTCAGACAAGTCTTCCACTGCCTCTGGTGTCAGAGCACTTGTTTCTTGTCTGTTTCGGTATGTGGTTTCTAGTTTACTCTTTCTGCTCAAAGGAACAAAATACTCAGCAATGGGTTCGGTGTACCACAACGGCTCCTCTTTATATTCTCTGTTGTTTCTGCTCTCTGTGTACAGCTCTTTCCCTCCAGTGCTCCCAGGATCTTTTCTCCCTGCCTCCTTCACTGGTCGCTTACCCCGCTTGCACAGCTGCCTGATGGACCCACTGCTGCTGCTGCTGCCGCCACCGCCCACATGCATGCTTCTCTCTGCCTTCTCCCCGTGCTTCAGGGACAGCCTGCTTTGCCCATTCCGCCCTTTCCTGTTTCGAATGTCTCGCGCCTTGTGTCTCACTTTAACGTACTTCATGGATGCTTTGATTTCTCCCTGATTACCACTTGAACTTGAGCCTCCTTCACTAGAGCCAGAAGACCAGGAGCGAGGGCGCATCTTCCCTTCCAACTTGTGTCGGATCTGCTTTTTGTACAAGGCAGGTTTTTCCTCCCCAGCGCCATTACTCAGTTTATTCTCCTTCTCATGCCTGCTTCTGCTCTGGGCTTTCTCGTGCACAATGGTGGGCCCTTCGGTGCTTCTTTCCTTGATGACCTCACTCTCACTGTTGCAGTCCTTGGGAGAGGACGTATCTGTGCTCACTGGGGGGGCTGTGGATGACGAAGAGGAGCTGGAGTAAGAACAGGCCTTGGACTTGGACTTGTTCCACACGGTCATGATTTCTTGCAGGCAAACTGGTTTCTCAGAAAGTGGTGGAAATGCTTCATAGTACCTGAAAAGCAGAGGAGTGTTCAAAACTGAAATGCATTTCACACAGTAAAACAACACAACAAACCAGAGAAGTGGATATTTAACTCTGAGTCAACATTCACATCATCTATGAGTTAACTTTAAAATAGTAATACAGTAAAGTATGCTGTACATTAAATTAATCCTGTGCATCAGCACCTTTCTGCTTAGCACTATGATAAGCACTTTATGAACATTATGAAAATATGTAAGATGACAATTGTATCTTCAAAGCTTAAATTTTAATTAAGAAGCAGAAATGACAAATACAATGTAGTTTTTGAAAGAACACAGTCTTTTCAGTATGAAATGTTCAAATGCGAGCCTTGGTTACTTACTACGCTTTTGACTTTAGTTCATTGTTTAACGTTTTGGTCCTAATTCCTCAGCTGGGAAAGATGAGTATATGACTTACCTCAGAGTTCTGAGCACTGGAAATCTACGCAACTGAAAAGCTGGATGGATAGCTAAAGAGTCGAGGGGATGAGCTCTGAAGTCACACTCCTAGAATCCTTAAGATGTGATTCTAGCTCTGCCCTCTGCTTAGCTGGGTGACTTTAGAACTGTTCCTTCATCTCTCTGGGCTCAGACTTCTCAGCCACAAAGCAGCAGGAGAGAGCACCCATCTAATAGCACTAGGGAGTTGGTGTCAGCAGGAAAGGAATTATATGAAGTGAATCAGAAAAGCACTTGCTTACAGGACTGTGCTGATTCGTTACTCTACCTCAGGATGCTAGCACAGGGCCTGGAATCTCAGTAAGCCCTTGGGAGTGGTAGGGGCGATCTCACGTGAGTGCTCAAGAGAGGATGCTGGTAGGGCCTAGAGCAACCAGAAGAAAGTGGACCGTAGCAGAGCCTTGCAGTCCCATGGGGCAGAATTCAGGGAATACAGACTGTGAGGCTTGAGGCCTGGCAACACACACTGGGTGTGCTCCTGTGCATAAGCCTAACTGGACAGAAGTTCCTGGAAATGCAGAGAAAGAAACAGCGGGAGGCTGGCTGTGCAAGGCTCTGACCTGCTAGGAAACCAGTAGCCACTGAAGATCTGAGAGCAGAACAGACTGCCAAAAGCAGAGGCAAAGTTCTGTGGGCTACTGAGAGCTGCTGTGGTGATAATACTTGAGGTCACACAGGAAATGGCAAAGGCCATGCTTTCAGGTGGCCTGAAATTGACTCTCCTTCTCAGTCTGTATGAGAGCTATCTACTAAAAATACAGTATGAGATTCACCTGTAATTTAAACATTGTAGCAATGACATTAAACGTGTAGGAAGAAATGGTAAAATTAATTCCAATAGTATATTTTTTTAATCAAATAAACTGATATTATTTCAACATGTCATCAGTACTAAACAATAATGGAATACGTGGCACTTTTCTGCTAAGGTTCTGTAATCTGATGAGAATTTTATACCCGAAGGACATCTTACCTTGAACTAGCCATGTGTCAAGTACAAAATAGTCTGCCATGGCTTGTGGTGATAGATGGCACAGGGCTATACAAAGCATCTAAACACAATTTTTTCCTTCGGTTTTAGAGATTCAGAAGATTAAAAGAAAATATATCACAAGGAAATCTGCTAAAAATGTAGAGTATTTTAACACATCATTTACAAAGAAGGAACTAAAGGTACAGGAAACAGGTTTGATTAGATCAAGGATTTGTTTATGCTCCCTTTGCAAAAAGCAGTCAGAAATGTTTTCTTGCTCATAAACAAGGGTAATCACAATGTCTCAAAGGATGTAAACAATGATTGTCCTCATGTCATTCATTTCACCAACACTTCTTGAACATGTGTGGTAAGGACAGAACCATCTTCTTCAACTCTGAATTCTCAGGGTCAAGCATATGACAACTGTTCAATAAATATTTCTTAAATTACAAAGTATGGAACTAAGTAAAAGATGATAAAATGGAAACCACGTAGCAGTTACGAGTCTGATCTTAACCAATGCACAGTATGAATACAATCTTACATTTCCACTTGATCCTTCGTTGTGGGGGATAATTCTACTTCTGGAGATGGAGACTCCTCCAACTTTTTGTGAATTTTCTCTTCTGTTAGGAAAGAAAAATTCAGAAAGATTTATCATGCCTAGTTAAATCCTCACTTTAAAAAAAGTGTCTCAAGTAATTTTAACCAGAAATGAAATAGGATTTAATATCTCCAAAAGGAAACTCTACTATTACAGTTTGTCTTTTGAATAAACATCTACCTCTTCAGTGTGCTAGCAGTGACTCTGGCTACACATCAGCACCAGGCCCAGAGGTGAGCACACTCTCCCTTCCAGCACTGAGCTCTGGAGCACTTATGTCCCTGTGTGCTCACTCATTAGTCCGGACCAGCAGGGAAACATCTGTTTAGATCCCAAAAATATTTTCTCACAGAATTATGACTCACAGACTTTGTATTGCTCATTTTGACTAATACTAATCAGTAAGGAAAATTTATTTCTAACTACTACTTCACACGTAGGTAAGAAAGGGCTAAGTTTCAACTCAAATACAAAGAGCTAAACTTATACCTTAGCTCACAATACTGCTTTCAGTTACAAACAAACAGTGCCCTTAATAGGAGGTTCAGAAAAAAAAAAAAAAAAAAAAAAAAAAAGAGGCTCAAGGTTCTGTGCACAGCACAATGATGATCACGAGGGCAACGAAACGAGTCCTTGCCTTCAAATGTAAGTCTCTTTCTTGGGCCTTGCTGAACAATAAGGAAAAGGAGTTGCAAGGGTTCACAAATCAAAATGACTTAATAAGCTTGTTGAGTATGCCCATCCAAAAAAATTCAAGTCAGAACAAAAGATCCTTCCACACCTGAAATAATCAGTAATCAGTGTCACTACTTCTGGAGGCAGTAATATCAACAGGCAGATCATGGGGACAAGTATCGTGAGTGCGGAGGTTCAAGTTGAAGACCAAAGGAAAAAAATAAACAGAAACAAAACACTCCCCACCTCCCATTTTCTGTTTCTCAGGGTGCCCAGACACGAAGACCCTCTTCTCTTCTGGGAGCAGGGCTAAGTGGCTGCAAAGGGCTACACAAACTACTAGCACAGCTAACGACGGAATGGGCACTGGCTTCATGACACACACTGAGCGAAAGACTTCTGAGCAGTTCTGTCTGCTTCAAGCCACAGCAGGGGCTACGCTCTCGCCACAGCCTCTGCACACAAGGAAGAGACACTCACCTTGCTCGCTCTGCAGGTCTTTCAGTCTGCAGCAGAGCTCCTCCACTAAGGTCTCAATTCCAGAGCTCTGGCAATGGAAAGAGAAGACTGTTAGCTCAGCTCCAGGTAGAGAGATGAAAGCATTCATACACTTCTGTGTAATATAGTTACCCCTCTGTGTTCCTGAAGAAACACATTATCAATACTTAGCCATCAGAGTTTAAAAATCTGTCAGCAACAAAAACAGTACTGAATGCCGGGCGTGGTAGCACACACCTGTAATCCCAGCACCCGGGAGGCTGAGACAGGAGGATCGCTGTGAGTTCAAGGCCAGCCTGGGCTACATAGTGAGTTCCATCCAGGTCAGTCTCAACTACATAGTGAGACCCTATCTCAAAAATACCAAAAAAACAGTACCGAGTATCTATTTGAGCATGGTCTATACACATTTAACACAAAGACAAATCACAAAACAACTCATCTTGGTCTTTTAGGAGTTCACAGTCTACAGAAAACAAGGTGAGTCTCTTCTTTTTAAAAGTGAACTCTCACGACTACAACAAAAAGAGCAATACAGAAAAGAAGTCAGTGTTGGGGCAAGTGTGAAAGCTCTGCTTCTCTTTAAAGGTCAGTCAGAGCGGGGTGTAAGCCTCTATACAGAACTGGGGCATGTTCTGGAAGGGTGTTTGTAAGAATCTGGAATTGGGAGGATAAAAATAAGAGTCCAGCCTCTAAAGAAAATTAATGTTGAAAACAGGCACAAGCAAGGGCCCCGGATTTAGCTCAGTGGTTCCTCTGCCTGCCTTGCAAGTGCAAGGACCCAAGTTCGATCCCCAGTACCAGAAAAGAAAAGAGAAGAGGCACAAGTAAATAATCTTTTACTATGGAGACTTTTTAAACTTTTCATAGTCTTGATTTCTTACAAGAAAACTCTTACAGAAGACAAAAAAGGTGAGTGTATTTCTTTTTTTGTTTGTTTGTTTTTGGTACCAGGGATTGGACTCAGGACCTTGCACTTGGAAGGCAGGTGGCAGAACCACTAAGCTAAATCCCCGGCCCAGGTGAGTGTATTTCTTATAACTTGAGACTTATTCAGAGGCCAAAATCCTATTTAAATTGGATTCAAGTCCCTTTCGGTGGGCGCAACCAAACCGACACACAGGACAGAGCATGCAGTGCCCTTACCAGGCCTCAAAAGACTAAAAATAGAACTTTACCCCACTCACTCAACTCAAAATGACTCAGCACAAGTACTACAGATTCCTGAACAAGAAACCCCTCAGTTACACAGTCTGAGCAGCAAGACATAGATTACAATGAAAGCAACTAACTGTGAACATCCACAACTGCATTCTATACTCATCATGCCACAGCTTCTACCTAACAGGGAGACAGGAAAATGTGCTGTCCCTTTCTTTACAAACACTCTCAGAAGCTGTAGCAGATGTTAGTCTGATAGCTCGGTGGATCCACAGTCCCTTCGGAGAGGGTCTGCTTACCATAATGCTCGGGTGCGATGAGGACGCAATTATATTCCACCTCCCCGGTCCACGCGAAACTGACACCGGGTCAGCTGACCGGCTGGCCGCACACTGCTCTGCACAGCAAGCCTGTGTTGCTGTGCCTGTGACCCCAGAGCTGTCTCCAGTGCAGGACATGGGGCAGGACCTCCAGGGACTGACTGCTAAGCAAACTCCTTCCTGTACTCGAAGTGGGCTGCACAGAGCCATTCCAACCTAGTAAAAGGGACTTTCAGTGCTCTGACTCAGAAACTATACATACAGATGTATGAGAATAATTTATATTCTCTATATTTACATGTATTTCTTCTCATATATAAACATATAAATATGTGTCTTCTCATATATAAAGAGCCAAGGAAATAAAGAGCTTACTTCTCACTCTGTGTGCTTTATGACCAGGTTTATGACTCAAAAGTCTTATGACCAGGCTTTTGTTCTTTCCTTAACTATTTGTAGCACCCTACTTACATTTGAAAAACAATCATAAGGCCCCAGGGTTACCATAATAGCAAACCCACAAGCTCAAAGGGATGTCGGAAGCTGCCACTGTTCCCTGTCATGTCCTGGCTCGTATTCTAAAGAGCTAATTTCGAACCGTTAATGGGAAATTTTATTCACTTTCCCAGTTGTGATATAACCTATTAGAGAATTTTTTGTTTTGTTTTTGGTACTGGGCATCCAACTAGGGTCCTTGTGCTTGTGAGGCAGGCAGCAGAACCACTGAGCTAAATCCCCAGCCCTAGAGAATTTTAATGCTATTTCAGTAGGCTAACACATTCAAGGAGCATTCAAGAATACTCTGAGAGCCTACCTCATCTTAAACAACAAAGATTATGTAGTATTGGTATTTTAGTAACAACCCTACGGGACCAGGCTGGGCTAGACTCAGTGCTAGACCCACTGTGACTGAATTTGGCCTTGCTTCTCATGTGGTAAACACCCCGCCACCTGCCCCAAGTGCCCAGGAAGCACACTGCCAACCAGAGCGTACCCTAAAGTTCAGGTTACAGCGCTCCACACCTGCAACACGGTCAGCCATGCACGAGGACCAGGGTGCGCGGAGACTGGCTTTCAGAAGCCTGGCCGGCCAGACACTGGTCTATCAGGAACTCATTCACCAAGTGGACGGCAGTAACCGCACCCCATGCATAGGCTGGGTGCGGGGAGAGCAAGGCCTGCCCTCCTGGAGTTCTGGGAACAGGGCCACAGGGAATGGGTGTGGGTCTGGAATTCTCACCCTGCTGTGTGCCCCTCCCTCTGACCAAAACCACCACGAGCTCCTTCTTGAGTCACCTGGGTTAGCACACATGTCATGACCCTTCTGATCCCTTGGCCACTTATGTGTTGGAGTCATCTCTAGATTTCATATATCTTTCATTTTCAATTTTGGATTCCTCCCTTCAAAAGTGCCTTTGATTTCTGAGGCTTGATTTGGGCAGTGGGGGCGGGGGTGGTGGTGGTGTGTGTGTGTGTGTGTGTGTGCACGTGTGCATGCGTGCCTGGCATTGAACTCAGGACCTTGCGCTTACCAGGCAGGCTTGGTGCCACTGAGCTACATCCCTGGCCCTGATTTCTGTGACCTGAGTTTGAGGTGAGAGGATAAGACAGTTACCTGAGTACAGCCATTGAAGCCCCTCCATCCTGCCCGGACGCCCTGGCCCACTCGTCTCTGAGCAGCACTGGGTCCCTGAAGCTGTGCCACTCTGCCCCCAACCAGCAGGCCAAAGAGTTTCGAGCTGGTGAGACAGAGCCCGGGACCTCTTATTTTTCTAGATTCTTACTTGTTCCCTGAAAAATGCCTAAGGTTTTCCATCCCATGCCATTCTCAGAGATTCTCTGTTTGCCCCATGCTTCCCATTCTATTCAATACCTGGCCCTAACTATCAGCATGAGGGTGGAGGACCGGCCTGGCTCCAACACATCACCTGTCCTCCCCACATCCAAAGGCTCCTGTTGTGGCCCTCATCACCCTTCACAGGGCACTCACATTCCTTCCATGCCACCCTGTGACCCCACCTAGTCCTCCACTAAGTGGCACCTACAGTGCAACCAGAGATCTGGGTCTGAGTGAGCTACACACCCGGCCCCTGTCATGCCTCAGTTTCCACATCTGGAAGATGGTGCCGATAACTGGATATGTTCTCAATAGCTGCACATACTGCTTCTGCTCTGCTGTCTCTACTCTTTTCTCGCCTGTTTACTGTTGCTCTATCTTTCTGTCCTGTCCTACTTCCCAAAGGACCTCTCCCACCC